TGGACCGTTAGGCTATTCCCTAGTCTGTCGACGCAACAAGCAAGAAATCTCGAACACTAACGTATCCTTCTACCGCTATCCTTTTAGTCTTAAATTTCTTTGAAGCCAAGTTAGTTTCCTTAGATAGGCCGGCGTTAATAGCTTCTTGTACGTTCATTTCCTACGCTTCCTTCAATTCAAAGCCAAGCTATTGCCAAGCCAAGGATTCGCCTCGCATTGCCTGGATGAAGTTTCCCGAGAACTGAGGCCCCAAGATAAAGCGTTCCCTGATTGGATATCCCTAACGACAACCCTCCCCCCGCCCCATCACACCGCCGGCCAGAAAACTGGCGGTCCGTTTCCCGAAAAACCACCTAAGCAGCAGAAACTTGAAACGGGCTTTGAGAAAGTCTAAATTGATCCCTAAATCCCCGCGTTTAAAACGGTTCGCTAAATGTGTTGCAGGCCCCATGTGCTGATACCCTGGTCAATGAAACTCAATTCTAGTCTTTCCCAACCATTTCTGGAAGTCCAAACGGCCTTTGGTTACGGTTCGTCTACGACGTTTGGTTGGACGAGTACAGGTGGTTATAGTAGTACGCCGTTTTTCAGTAGTCATCGTCATCGAGTTTCCGTCTTAGTGGTTCGTCCCAATCCAACCGACTGGACGTTTTAGCATTTCCAATTCATTCTTTTTTCTTCAAGTAACCCTCTACTGCTTTTTTAGCACCTTGATTCTTGACGGTGGAGAAAATTTGTTTCCATTTGTCTCGCAACGACGACTCAAATTCGCTTAACACGTGTTCTCCTGAGTTACAAAATTGGGCAGAGACGGATTCGTCTGAAAAGGGTAAGTCTTGTACTCTGGATGCAGATATTTCAAACCGTAATCGTTTTCTTAGCCTGCGTGGCAGGCGTTTGAAAAGGAAGGAAAGGGGTTTTGGGAGCGAGAGAATAGGGGCGCGCGGGAGGGAGGGAAACGCCTGCCAGGAAACCATTGTTTTTGCCATCCCTCCTTCTAATTATGTATGCAAGAATAACGCAACTGTGAATGACTAGCTGTCAAATACGTGTGGCCACGATGCACTTATTTTTAGCTATTTTCAGCCTTAGGGACTGATCAAAAGTATAGGGGGTAGGCCGGAGCATTTGGAAATGTGGTTAATAAAAACACATGGCCCACCCCCCCTTCGGTACAAAAATGACTGACCCACCCCTAAAGCAAGGTTGGAAATTACATGACCCACCCCCTAGTATTAAAACATGGGTTTTTGGTTTCCTCTTAATTAAATAAAACCTGGTTCTGCGCATGACAAAATTTCTTCTTTCGTTGTCGTAATTAAAGGTCAGGGACCTTTCCTTTTCTGCTTTATATACTTCCCAAGTAGCAGCTCGGCGTTCAAAATGTCCTTTTGCATTCTTGGCCCCATAATGTCGAGAGCCTTCGGATCTGCTCAGTTTCAAGCCTTGTTTGGCAGCGGTGCTCAACATTCCCAACAATCTTACCCCTGATTGCTGTCTCCTATACCGAGGGACAATGTTCACGTTATTTTTATGCTTTTCAATGCTTGTTTACCCAACAGCAACCATGGGAGCAGGGCCCAGCAATCCCAAGGCCACTCGTTCCGAAGTCTTATCGCTCAATCGCGGTTTTCGTCGAAACTCGGCTTCTCCACGCTGTGTTAGTCTGGTTCGTCGACCCTTTCTTTGTCCTCTTACCATCAACCCAACCCCAGAAGCCTGCCACCTCAATCATTTCATTGTCTTAGACCTCGACGTAACGAAACAAACGTCCATACCACGTCACTATTCCATCGGGAACAGGAGGCGTGAAAGCAGTGACCACATCTTCCAAGGTTTTTTTTGGTCGCACCAAAAATATTGCAAAAATCTTCTAAGGGCAATCCTCGCACGTACAAACGTAATTCCGTCAAGATCTACTCGTAGGTGGGGTGCGATTATCGGAGGCGAAACGAAGAGTGAGGGCCAAGTATATATTCAAGGATATATAATTTAATGATTGGGAGATTACACGAGCAAGGCCTAAGGTCAACTGAGCTATCGTACAATCACATCAAGTTATATAGGTTAATAAGCGCGGTTGCTAAGTAAGAGGATTAAGGGCTAATTCCACAGGTGGTATTGGCAGAACGACCGCTTTGTTTGGAATTTTTTCAACCTGAACCATCCTTTTGGTCAATACTCCCGCAGCCGCAAAACTAGCCACCAACACGCTTTTTCATGAGTACAGGACCCACGATGAACTAACCTTAGGAGAGCAAGAAGACAGTCAAGTGCCCCAACAATTTTGACTGAGGCTGTAGCTGGATGGCTGGCTCCTGGCCTTGGCGCGTTGATGTCGTTATCTTTGCGCCTTATAGGGAATTAAATCGTTCTCGTACGTGACTTCATCCAATTTACTGGCAAACGAAATAGCCCTTGGGGAATTGTGATCTGTCTTTTTCTCATGAAGTGCGATTATACACGATCGGAGATCCGTCTTCTTGCGTGATGTTCGTCCGCAATCAAAAAGGATAGTCGGAAATCGGGTGTAGATCCGTCATTATATAACCAAACGGGCGTTGCGTGCACATCGAAAAAATTTCCATCACCTGTTTCCAGCTGTCGGGAAAGGCTTGCAACGTCAACGCTCGCCTGCCTGTGCGATCGCGGGGATACTTTAAGGTAATGATGTGGTATGAGCACTGCACCGGTATCGTAGAGGTCAAGGGTTCCAATACCTTACAAGCCTGATTTTTTTTTTCAGGCTTTCTTTTCACAACTGCAAAAGTTGCGTCTATAACTGCGATGATCTACTTTCATATAAGGCATTTGTTTGCCACATGCACACACCTACCCCCTCCCCTCTAACAGAGAGGATCATTGCATGGTGGGCAAAAAAGAAAACCTGTGTACGCCATGGGTGTGACAAGGTTTGTCAGAAAAGATTTCACTGTGAATTAAGTTTAATGTTGGGTGGCCATATAAACCCTACCAAAATCCCACAGTTTGAGCATGCCACATGCATCTCAGAGAACTTTCTTCACGGGTGTTACGAAAACTCAGACCTCAGACACTGAAAAATTCAGACCCCCCTGGGTGTCTCGAACACAAGGACCTCCCGAAAACCTCAGACCCCCGAAAAACTCAGATCCCTGGGTGTCTTGAAAACTCAGACCCTCAATATTTTTCAAATATTGCAACTAACTATAGACCGAGAGCAGCCTCTCTCTCTTTCCCATCTACAGAAGCGAAATTTTGTTTTCCAGAAATATCGCCTGAGCGAAAGTTCGCACTGGCAAAATTTCGACAAAACCAGATTTTTCTGACGGTTTGTAATGAGACCCTTTCGGATCGTTACGTTTGACGAAGTGTTCAAATTAAGAGGTCAAATATGTTGGTGATCGTTAAACCTATTCTCGTCAAAAAGTTGCCAAAAAAATAAAATAAAGGCAAATCATGCTGGAATCTAATGTCTTAGATCCGTTGTGCTATTCCGGACAGTGACAAGCGAATTAAGCATGACAAAGAGCAAAGAAAAACATAATATTTGTTGTAGTATTAATTGGACAGTCACTAGCCAGGGGTACCCAACGACAATTTTCGGAAAAATATCTGTTCGAGGACGATTTGAGATCTAGAATTTTCGGAACATTTGTTGTAAAATTTCTTGCTTGCCTGCTTCTCCTAAGATTTTCGAACATTTAAAATATGGTATAATTGCCTATTTTTAACGGATTTTTACCTTAAAAAGGTCACCTAGCTGGCTGAAATTTTCGAAAAGGTAAGTTTTGATCCCTATAATTTTCGGATCACTAGACTTTCAGCTAGGAAATCCGAACAGATGAAAAATTTTTAGGGGATAAAAATATGCCTACATCTACCTTTTAAATACCAAAATGCGTTCAACAATGCTATGTTTTAGCGGTTTTGAACCATATTCTCGTTGGGTGCCCCTGACTAGCCTGCGATAATGCTCTTCATTTTGGGGATAATGCTTGGGCGGTACGCAGATAAGGCGCCCGAGGCTAGACGCTGACGTAACCACCCAACAAAAACATAACCCAGGGGACTTCCTTGTTTTCTTTCTTTCTTTCCTTTTTGTTTTTATACATACATTTTTTTAGCACAACAAGATGATTTCCAGGACACAGATGTTTTCTAGGTCACCCCGAATATACATGTAAGTTGTCGGGAATTTTTCGCAAGTTATCCAACAAACAGAAAAACTCGCGGAGATTTAAAATGCCCAGTCATTCCCTGAAGGAAGGGGTAGTGTCATAGTCAACCTGAATCGCTCTGTGATATCATTCCTGATCATATCGATATTTGAAAACAGCTGACTTGTTTGTTCATTTCTATGGTATAAACTATGTAGTGACATGGCGCAAGTATCACGCAACCCCCCTTTTTGCGCTCTGATATATAGTTAGTTGAAAGTTAAAGGTACTCAATAACGTTGACATTTGAAAAGTATTGAATTGACGGTACCCCTTCCTTCACTTGTTGCAACCCCATACAGAAATTGAATGATCAAAAAATTCTTGACAGGAGGATAGTAAAAGTGTACCAGGCACACACATGAGGACCAGTGCATATGGCCTACATTTATCTTGGGTCAGGCAGCCTAGGGTATATACAGTCATGTGACAGTATCTGTATGGAACATGTACAGCTAGCGTGACCTCTTCCCAGAGGCGCAATGTTAGGTTCCCATCACCCTCTACTCCTGCGCCTTGCATGTTACAAAGATGACTGGGGAAGAGTCAGCCCCCACAGGATCTGTGGCGAGGCTAGTTTAAAAAAGAGTTCAACTCCATTGGGATTGGCCTTGTGCACCAATATGCCTTCTTATTCACATCAAAATTAATTCATAATCTATTTAGATGATTCTTAAATCCTATTCCTTTATCATGCCAATGTAATTTGAACTTGCACAGAAAATGCAGTGTACATTCATTGAAAAGCTGCAGAGGCTAATAATTGTACACCCTAATTCTCTTTGGAGTAGCTAATTTAGACAGGGTTTAGTACAGAATATATTATTTTAAGTTTACCATTTTATTTCAATACAAATGCATGTGTATATTAAATGATGTAACAAAGTATACATTATGTAGTAGCTCAAAGCTCAGATTAATAATGTTTGGCCACACCCATTCAATAAAACCGTATATTTGGTAGGGACAAAAGTGGGCACATAATTGGTGTCAACAAAAACCCCAGCTAAAAATTAAAAAAAAATTGTTGGAGTTTAAAGCTTTGTAACAGTAGGAGCAATCATTTTCCTGTGACTGTAGTAGAGGCAATTGGGATCAACATCAACATCAATAACTTCAGTTGATATGTTCTCTCTTACAAAACCACTTTTCAGTAACTTAGGGACTTGTGTTTCCTCGAACATCTTCTCAATGTCATTATATTTTGTCTTAAGCAACTCTCCCCAAGACGTCAGATTGCAGAAGGTCAGCACTCCTCCTGGTTTAAGGAGACGGTAGGCATGGTCTTTGATAAACAAGAACTGATGAGTGTGCCATGTTTCCTCTGACAAGGGGTACGTGTCATACATGATGCCATCAAATGATTCATCATCAAGGGAGGGCACTACCTCCTCCCACAGGCCTATGGGAATAGAAAGATAAAAAAATTCATGAATCTATGTGTGAAAAAGCTTGCCAAAGAGTTTGTTACTTTCGTTGTGCCTTAAATGATATAAAGTCAGCGGTTTGTTAGACTATGAGTGGTCCTTTATTCTCTTTAGGGTCTCAGGGGGGTACTCCTAGGAATTCTTGGTGTAATTTTTTAGCACTGTAATTACCCAATGAATGACTTGCTACCATTCGGCCATTCCAGAAAAATTTTTAAAAAGACTACTTTTTCACTGTGCTTGTTGACTTTAGGGTACCATTTTGGATTAACTTTCTCTCTTCCTCAGAATTTTTTAGCTTCCGAAAAGGAATGGAACAAGACACCATGTTCTCTTCGGTTGGTGTTGTTCGTACCCTGGAAGATTTCTAAACATGTGTGAGATTTGATTTTCTTGAATAATAATTTCTTACATAATGTTTTTCTTGTATGCTAATTCCCGTCATTTCACAAAATTCAAGCGTCATTGTTATCAACTCCATTGAGACATGCTTTTCCAGAAATGTCTTTGAAGTCACTTCATAAACTCACAGCATGTGTCTTATTGGATCTAAACCCAATAGTACACTGCATGCTGCTTGTTTATTAAACATTACATAACAATCAATAGTTATTGATGATAAGGAATAAAATCTTGAGAGGTACATGCATAGTTAAGATATTCTGAACATCATTACATGACAATGATACTTGGCAAACAACACCAATGAGACCGGCTTTGCACTTAACCCATTATATTCTTTACTTTAACAACTACTCAAGGCATAGCCTTCATCGCCTTTTATTTTTTGTCTCTTAATTTAGTTTTAATGGATTTTTACATGTCCATTCAATCCGGTCCAGCACCATCAGCTGCACCTTGCATTTCTTTCTTTGCAGTCTCACTCAGATTGGAATCCAATTCAGTGCAGTATATATACTACAGGTCAAAATTAAATTCAGGTTAAAATTTGTTATCCTAGGTTGATTCTCAATTTCATTTGTCTCTCTCCTAGGCCTAAGACTAGGAGACAATTGAGAATCAACCTAGGTTAAAAAAACTTAACCTGAATTCAATTTTGACCTGTAACATATATAGCGTCATTGAAGTACTCCTGGTCGCTCCCTCCACATTAACAGCCCTGCATATATATGTACCTTTCAGGAAAACATGTGGGCATTCCTGAAAATACCTAGCCTAATGTGAGAGTATAATGTCAAGTGTGTGCATTTTTTTTTTTTGGAAAAAAATAGGGACCACTATGGCATGCCTCTGAGAGGTATTGATGGACAATCTAACATTATAACATGCATAGAGCCACAGCAAAAATTCAACAAGTTGACGCGCTGAGGCTGACCTGGGTTGACACAAACAACAGAAAGGAAACTATTTTCAAACCCCTGGACTGCTACATCTTGCATGTAACACTGAAACCATGCAGATTCCCCTTTCTGATTTTAAAACACAAATTCTATTACTGTAAATCCAATATTAAGCCCCCTCCCTCTAATAAGCCCTCTAATAATAATAGACTGTATTTTAATAATCAATCACGACTGTTTAACTTTGAGTGGACTGATCCAGGATAGTTTATTTACCAACTGGAAGTTCTGATTTGTTTTTGATCCTTGGCTGCATAACCTCCAACCTTTACCTACTTTGTATTCTAGGTCTTTAGGGAGAACTGATACCATTGTCTTTCTAAATTAAATAACCCCCCCCCCTCTCAAATAAGCCCCCCCCCCATTAGATGGGCTTGAAATAAATAAGCCCCCTGGGGGGCTTAATAGAGAATTTGTGGTAAACGACAGTCAACCGATGCACCTCCAATTAGTCAACTGATATTCCACCAACAATTGACACCCCTTAAGCTTGTATTGTTCGAGTGCTGACTGGTATACTGACTGGTGTATCAGCCAACATTTTTGTCGCCATGTTGGTCGATACACCGGCTGACATATCGGATGAGTGTCGACCAACATATCTATCGACATGTCAACCGACAGTCAACCGATATGGTGATCAATACTTGACTGACACGTCGACCGATAGTAGCAACCAGTACTCAACCAAGGGGTGCACAAATTACACAAGATTTGCTGTTTCAAGGTCAATTCACTTGTTGGAATTTTACCCTAAAAAGCCTTCAGTTAGTTGGAGGGGATGTAAACAAACCAACCATGCAAAATACCTTTAGAAGGTCTGAACAACTTCATACATGCCAAAAACCTTGCCAGAAAAGAAACCGTCTGCTACCTTCACTGTAGCTGGTTGAAATTGAATTAATAGGCTGTCCATCAAGAATATAGTCATAGTCGTTTATATAGTCGTAATAAATTTGATTGATTGACTGATTGATTTTTGAGTGATTGGTTGATTGATTGACCTCACAACTGACCTTTCAGAGGTGTCACCTTCTGCTTGGCCGTTTTAGCAAATGCCTCCAGCCTTTTGAAGACTCCGTCATTGCATTCTACTATGACGTGTTCATCTACTGCAAAGGACTGAATTTTCGTCGCCGAAATAGCCAGTCCGAAGCCAAGCTCAAGGACTCGGCCACCTTTGGATGCTGCTATTGAAGCCAGTTTATGCATGTACGGTGTTTCCCAACGCTCCATAACCGGCTTACCCATGATAACTAAATGTTCGTCTGTTTCGTCGTACTTTGCACCAGCATCTTTCCACAATGGCTTGCAGTTTTCTCCGAGGCCAAAGATCTTGATTTCTGCCATATTGTCGGCGACCGTCGCTTCAACCCGCGCAACAGTCTCGTTCCCAGGGTCCTTTCTGACCGCTGTGACTCAACTGTGACCACAGGTAACCCAGGCTCTGTGATAGTACCACAGTACGGTTCCAGTAAAATTACAGTGTTTGTATGGGGTAAAAATATCATCCTAAAATTTCTAGGAAATACTGAATAAAGATCAATAAAACTTACTCGGCAGTTAATTGTTTTTGTCCTTATTGCTCCAACGAAGTTTCGTGATAATTTGCAGTAATTTGTTTAAATACACTCTATCTAACAAATTACTGCAAATTATCTGAAACTTCGTTGAGCTAGGACAACAACAATTAACTTTCTTTTTGATCTTTATTGTATTTCCTAGAAATTTTAGGGGATGACCCCCCCATCAAAGCTGCTAACTTTTCTGGAACCGTATGGTTCTATCACAGAGCCTAAATACCTGTGCTGTGACTCAGTCGAAGGTGAAGAGGCGTTGCGTGACCATACAAAGAACGGCTCCGGAGGAGACATATATGTTGTAGCACTCCACACATACTTTGTTCACAAGCAAGGAAGGGAAAAACGACAGGAGATTTCATGATGCGTTATTCTGAGCGATCGCAAAACAACTGGAAAAAGGAGGAAGTTTGGACAGACGGAAGTTGCCCTTTGGCCTGGTCACCAAGCCGGTGCGGTGATCTTTAAACACGTAAGACGTAACCCACGAATCAGTTCGCTATTAATACAAAGAACTAAAACTTTTTTAAAGTTATTTTTTCGCGATGGTTGATTTAAGTGATCCCAAGTCTCATGAGAAATTTTCTGTTGACGTTAAACTTCTTCTTATACCAGGAGCTGCACTATTTCTGTTAGTGGGTAAGTAAAAATCAGTTAAAATAGATAAGAGTCGATCCCAGTTCAAATTATAAAACGAGATCCATTTATTGCTTAAAAAAAATCACTGACAGTTATTTTATTTTGAAGTTGGCCTTCTATTAGACCTTGATTATGATTTCTTTCTTTTTTTTTCAATATTTTATTGTTTTGCTATAAATTTCGAAAGGGTCAGCTCATTTTGGAGGGATTATTATATCACTTAATTAGGGGTCAATGTTACTGTTGATCGACGCAAAGTTTTGACTCAGTTTATCATTATTACTATTTTTTTTACATCAGTGTCATCGTTGTTGTTTTCATTTTTCATCTATGTGAATTTTTTTTTTGATTTTAAGCACAGAAAATCTCAAACACATTAATTAGCTTGCTGGTCTACTGATCATTAGGAAGCTGAGCTCCTCCTCGTTGTAAAAACCTGTGATACTCACGAGTGACGTAAAGCAGTGAGTACAAAGAAGCCACTGAGAAGTCAGCACAATAGAGCCAAGGAAAATAATAGCTAGAAAACAAAAAAAAATTCACACGTTTTTACACCGAGGTAAACTAGGAAGCCGTTGATTCAAACCCAGCTGGCATGGACTACCCACCATCCTGGGTCTTTTATATTATATGGACAAACCCACACCTTCAGGAGGGCCTTTAAGGCTGGTTTTCACTATTGATGGAGTCAGTCCGAGTAAGTGGAATCATAGGAGCACTTATGATCTGGTAAAAATGAAATATTGGAGTCATAAGTGCAACAAAGATCAGAGTGTTTCCATTTCTTCCAACTTTGCTTATATGGCTCTCTCTGTTGCTTCTGTTCGTTTATGATCTAGGGAAAACCAGATTGTCGGAGTTGAAGAAGAAGTGGAAGAACTAAATCAATAACAAAGTGTGGAACGTGCATTGTGATTGGTTTGTCCTTCTACTTCTCCTTTCGACTCCGACAACCTGGTTTTCACTAGATCATAAGCGGAATGTAAGCAACTGAGTTGTAAGCGGAATCGGAACACTGTTTTCACTAGATCATAAGCTCCATGCTTCTGATTATGGCTCCAACTCTGACTCCATCATCAATGAAAACCAGCCTTTATGATTTTTTCTGACGGGGGAATAATGGGGTGGGCCTATACCTGACAACTCACACATGTACATGGTCATAATTTTTATGTTTGTCATAATTAATAAGCCCTCTTAAGACCCCATTGTAACTTCAACTCTGTCACTCGTGAAGTCCTACTTTAAAGTTATTTTCTTCCCATATTCTCTTTTCTGTGAAACTCACAAAACTGTGAACACCAGAAATTATTCATGGAATGTTATTGTGTTGCGAAAAGAAAGCCAATAAGGCGTGAGAAACCTAAACCGCAAATATGAAGCAACAGTGGTTAGTTGTGGTTTTGTGGTTTGCTCACATGTCCTGAGCTTTATTGTGATTGGTCACTACACAATCAGCATTCCAGAAATTTTTCAGCCATTCACGGTTTTCTGACGTGGACAGTAAATGAACCTGTATTAAGCAGAAACTTTAAATTTTAAAGTGGAAATCTAATGCCATGTGCTTTCCCTTGCCCACACACATAAGATAAGTGCAGATTTTAAACAATATTGTTGGATGATGCTTTTGTGATATTTGGAGTAAGCAAGGTTGAGGTGCAGCTGTAAGTGGTTGACCCAGCCTGTGAGAGCAGGCTTCCTTTTCAGTTATAATCTCACCCGCTGAAAAAGGTGTCTGCTCTTGCAGGCTACTGAAGAGATATCCCTAAAACAGATTCCATAGTAATTGCTCTTGAGAATCATACAGATTAGTCAGTTATCTGCTAGCGGATGAATAGCTAATTTGCAGGTTTGCTCTGATGTCCAAAATTAACTTTAGCATGTTAGCCAATGAGGAGACAGAGAGTGAGTAAAATGACAGACATGAAATATTGTAACTTTGCTTGCAGTTTTGTTCATCTACCGGCTGCTTAAGGCAAACCATGACCGAGAGAAGGCCAAGCAAGAAAAGAAAAAGATGAAGCAAGAAAAGAAGAAACAATGACATAGATTGATGTGAACTCTTATCAATAATAGGAAATAACAAATTTTATGGACAATGTTATTGGTTTTCAACACTCACAGTCTATAAACTTGCTTTTCAACACCACAGTACATGAAATCATCAAGAAACAAATTATTCTGGAATGCATTCCTGTTTCCATGGAGACTAATCAACTCAAGGCATCTGGAACTTGAAGCTAGTGAACATTCCTTGAGTACTGCAAACCAATACAGTGTTCTCAGAGGACACAGAAAAATGATATTTAAATTATTTAGAAATGAGCTTGTTGGAATTCTTCCTCTGGTAACATAATTATATAATTTCTCCATTCAGTTTCAGCTTTTCCCTCCCAAAAAGTGTTTCTTTAAATTTTATTGTGTGCAAATAAAAGAGTGAGAGGGATTATAATATTTTTGAAATTGCTTTTCTATTTTCAAAAAGGTAAAAACATGTTGATATGCCTCTTGATGTTTTATTTAAGTGCTGTTCCTTTGATCAGTGTACTTGAAATTGTTTGAGATGCAATAACACAATTTGAAAAAAGTTGGCATAATTCTCAAAGCTGCAGTTCTTTTCCTAGTCTTCCACTATGCCAAAAGATAACCCTTTAATGTCCACCAAAATCTCACCAGGGTAAGCAAGTGCTTGCCTAAAACAAAAAAAAAAACTCTTTTGGGGGATCTGGGTCTTTTATCTGTCTTCATTAACTTGGAAATTTCACAAGTTTTGCTTGTCAATTTCCAGTTCTGTTCTAATGTTTGACACAAAATGGATATTAGATCAACAAAAACCAAGCCACCAACAGGTCATGATGGGTGCAATGTAATATTAAATCAAGGATGAAGGAGAGCTTTTACATGTATGTAAAAAGCTCTCCTTGCTAAAAGAGTTCAACTCCCACAGGATTTGTTTGGTGAACACAGATATGGCTGCCATGACTTGTTGGCAAAATGTCTCTCACAGACAAAGACTGAAATAAATTCCCACCTTTTTAAAACTTTGTTATCTCAAGGTCCAAGGTGTACAACAATAAAAGGGATATAGCGGTGAGTGAGAGGACAAGGAAAAGGGAAAAGAAGAGAGAAATAAGCTAAGTAAATTGAAAACTGGATACCAAACTTTTGTTCATTTATTTGTTTTCAAAAAATTATTTGTCGTTTTCCCACAAGTACTGAAAACAAGTAGTGATATCAATGAAATTCAAACTCTTTCCTTATAAAAAGGACTAAGTCATGGTACTTTTCTTTGTGCTTTTTTTTTTTTTTTTTTTTTTTAATAATAACTACAATTAAACCAAAAGCCTTACTGACATGGCCTAATCCACAGCTTATAACCAATAAAGATAAACTCAAAAAAGTGTTTTGAGTATTTCAAGTATTTGGGTAATTAAAATGGGCTCTTGCAGAATACAGTCACATGGTACAAACACACACCTTGGGATATATTGCAAACAATGCAGCATTACTTAAAAAGCTGATATCTTTCTTTCAAGGTCCCTCTGCATCGCTTTTCCGTCCAGCAATGAAGTGTGTTTTGTAATGCCAGACCATATTTTGATCACCAGCTTTGGTAACCCATGTCCCCCCTGATTGGAGATGGTACCTTATTTTTTCATGTGAATGCTGATATTGAGAACCAGAGAGAGCAAAATGTCCATGGGTTGTGTTGTTGTAGAAGGGCAGCCGCCGTATCCACAACCAAATCACCTTGCAACTATTTACCACAGCCAACTTGTACACTTAAATGAAGAAAGGATATTTTGATCTTGGTGATCAACCTCAAAAGCCATATGTAAATGGGGGAATGTCTGCATGTTCTTTAGCTTGTCTTCTAGAGGGGGTCTTCAATTGCAAGTACTTACGCAAATTCCTTGACCAAAACCCTTCGAGGTTATGACATTCTTTATATTATTAGAACTCAACCAAGGCAGCTGTATCATGCTATCCAATTTAAGGAAGGCCATTAATTTACATGATGCTATAAACTAGCGCGTTGAAGCAGGTTCATTCACATTTTGTTCTTCTTTACTGGTCCGATAACTTAATTAAAACGCACTGGCTTAATTTGACTTCAAGAGCAATATGCAAAAATAAGTTCAGAAAATAATGGTAGCAAAATGATATCA